ACCAGCAGTTGTTTGAAAAAATCACCTTACTCATCAGCAGAATGTCATTTTCTGAATCATGAAACCACAGAATCATTAAGGCTGGAAAAGACCTCTAAGTTCATTTAGTCCAGCCATTTCAACTGTCACCAGTATTGCTCACTAAACCATGTCCCTAGCTACCATATCTACCTTTTTTTTTCAAAACCTCCAAGGACTGTGACTTCACCACCGCCCTGGGCAGCCTGTGCCAATGCCTCACCACTCTTTCTGAGAAGAAGTTTTTCCTAGTATCCAACCTGAATCCCAACTCTGGTACAACCTAACGCCTCTCATCCTATTGCTGTTACCTGGGAGAAGAGGCTGACCCCCCCATTTCACCACAGCCTCCTTTCTGGGAGTTGTAGAGAGCAGTAAAGTCTCCCCTGATCCTCCTCCAGACTGAACAATCCCAGTTCCCTCAGTCACTCCCCAGAAGATTTGTGCTCCAGACCCTTCACAGCTTCATTGCCCTTCTCTGGACACGTTCCAGAGCCTCAGTGTCTTTCTTGAAGTGAGGGGTCCAAAACGGAGCACAGTACTCAAGGTGTAGCCTCACCAGCACTGAGTACAGAGGGATGATCACCTCTCCGCTCATGCTGGCTGCACTATATCTGATACAAGCCAGAATGCCACTGGCCTTTTTGGCCACCTGAGCACACTGCTGGCTCATGTTCAGCCAGCTGCTGAGTAATACCCCGAGATCTTTTTTCTCCATGCAACTTTCCAAAAACTCTGCCCCAAGCCTGTAGTGCTGCACGGGATTGAAGTTTACTGGTGAAAGCTCTGCAGTATGTCACCATTCCACAATGTGCACAGATTTCTTCCAGAAACCCAGTTTTTCTATCAACAAATAATTACACATGTGGATGTGGTGTTGTGAGAGTCCTTGCCGCTTGCTTTCTTTTTTCCATGCCTGATTTCTGAACAGTTGTGTTAGTGAAGCTAGGGCTGCACCATTGCCATGCAATCTGTTGCTGACATCTTTGACGGTGACTCAAGCAAAACTGTTTTCAGCCATGAGCGAGGCTGTTTATTCCTGTCTTTGTCTTGTTAAGCAGGTTCCTGTTAAAAAATAAAAATAAAAAAATCTCCACCTCTGGTGCTAATTGGTGCCTTTGGCAGACTGAGCGGGGGCTTGTGAATTGAATGTGTCATGGAAAATTGAATGTGTCAACTCTCTCCCAACAGTTGGGACCTCTAGGTCTTTTTCTGGCACTAAATTTTCTTTGGGGGAAGAAAAAAAAAAAAGAGAGAAAACATACTGAGACAAGAGATCTTTTTCCTTTTTCTGATGAGGTGTTAAAGTTGAGCATTGTGGTGTATATAGCACTGTGTTTTATCAGCAGAAGAATTGAGAAGCAGGGTTGTTGTCTGCCACTGTTTTTTGGAACCCCAATTGCTTCTATCAGAAGCTGCCCAGCACTGGGTGGCAGCTTTTGTTCAGTCTATTCAAGCATCTGGCAGGATAGCCACGGAGTTGTTGCCAATGTCCTTAAGGAACTGTAGGGATCTGCATGATTCATTCATTATCTTTTCTAGGTACAGTGCAAAGATGTTGTATGACAGAGTTAATGCCGTTCCAGCCCAAGTCTAACCAGCATTACAAAAGCAGAGATTTGCTGCTTTGGCAGTACTGGCTGTCAGCATGAATTCCTGTTCCTTCAGTCAAGAAGATTCTAGCTCACATGGAGTTAAATCAGAGTTAAACTGAGCTGATTGAGAATAGGTGGAACCATGTGCACAAACCAATTCACCTTATAAGCTGTCCTAAGCAGGAGCAGAAGAGGTTATCAGTGTCAGGTTTTGAGGTATGTGGATGGCAGAGAAGTTTAGCTAGAGTTCAAGCTGCTGTCATATTTGCTGGGGATGAAGCCACAATTATGTGTGCAGAGGCCTGCAGAGAGGAGGGTTGAGTTTGTTTTTTTTCTTTTCTCTTAGGAAATATACTTTTTATTTTCCAGTGGTGTCACTGATTTGTCTTTGGCGATATTGCATTTTCTTAGGGAAAATGGTGAAGAGTCCTAGTTGTCCTTCAGCAGGGGCTAGCTACCAGTCGGACAGCACACATTAGCCCTGTTTTTTCACACAGCAGTCCTCCCTTCCGGTATTTCTGCAGAAACAGCTGAATTTGGTACTTTCTCTTATGGCACGTGATACTGAGCCAAAGGGGTTTTACACTTAAGGCATCTTCAAAGCTGTGTTGTTGGAGCTGCAACTGTGTGTACTTTGGCAGCAAGCACCTCCTCAGGCTGAGCTGCAGCATTTCCTTCGGGATTTTGTGCATGTTCACCTTTCATATTCTAGGTTTTCATATTTACTTTTTTCACCTCGGCCTTATTGTCAGAAAGCTTTGGAATCGAGTGTCCACAATTCATGTCCGTGCTCTCCCCAAAGCACAGCAAACACTCTGTTGTTTTGTTGTGGTTGTGTAATATGATACAAGGAAAATGAGCACAGGTAGCGATTTTATCTATCTGCATTTTCAGATGTGTCAGTCTGTGAGCTTAGAGGCACCATCTTTGTCACAAGCTGATGATCTGCTGGAAGCATCTGCATGTTTCCCACTATGCTGCTGTTTGTTCCCAGTCTTCATTCAGAGACATTTTTCTGTACTGCACTATTACTTCCCAAAACTGATTCGGTGAAGGGTATTTCACCAGGTATTCATCTTTCAAGCACAGTTCTTTCACGTAGTGCCGAGAACGATAAATCCAAAGATTTCAAACTTCTTATCAGGATAAACCCAGAGAGCTCAAAGCCAAAATGAAACTCTTCAGACCCATGGTAAGGACATTGCAATTCCGAGATCACGTCCACTACTTGATATTATTTTCCTTGAAATCCTCTCTCCTGGTTAGAAAGCTTTATATTAAACACTAATAAACCAAATGGAGTGACAATAGTAGAAGACAGAGACTTTGGACCGGTTAGCAGGACAGAAATACATCATGCTCTTTTGTCAGAGTTGGGCAGTTAAATGTCACAAACTCTGATTTGTTTCACATTTTGATTTTGGTGTCAAACGATTAAAATTTGCCAAGTTTACCAGTGGAATAGAAGATTAAGTAGTACTCTGAGAAAGCACAAGCCCTGCAGGCTGTGTCTGTTTGTAATAGTCATCCCTGCCAAACGGTGATCACTGGAATAATTATCAAGCCTTCTCTTCCCTGAACTGTGAACTTTTAAAGAAACTATTGGTATTATGGGAAGTGTTTCTCCCAGCTGTGTTAAGTCAGCATTACCTGCCTACCCATGTATTATACTGCTTGCAAGCGCTTTTCTGTTAGGGATAAACTCACCGCATTCCAGCTGGGAATACATTATTGCCTTTGCTTGTTATGGAGGTAATGGTCGTCGTTGGCCCAGCTGCAAAGCCAAAGGGAGCATTCACAGTGCAATACACAGCTTGAGCCAAGCCAAGAGGCAGCAGAGGGGGAAATTTGGATTCAGTTTTTCCTTCCGAGGTGCGAGGTGAGGCTCCTGCACACAGCCAGATATCTGCTAGCCATGTTCTCCTGCACGCACATTCTCCTTGGTGCCCTTTGCTGTTATGGCAGTACTTAGAGGCTGAAAAAAAGCTGGCGTAACAGGAGTGACATGGTATTTCATGTTGGTAAGCACCAGGAAGTCGGTGCAAGGAAAGGAGAAAGTATTGCTCCTGTGTTATCTGAGGGAGCAGGAAGGCTAGTGATGAGGGTAGAGAACTGCACTTTCTGTTTGTTTGTGGCATTTCCCTGGAGTTGCAGCACGTCCCTGTCAGTGATTAATACAGTAGGATTGTTTGCTGGTTCATCAGTAAAATCGGCATCATTCTGTTTGATATGAAATAGGTTTTTACTTCAACAGCCACTCCTGCCTCCCAGCAGGTTTCTTTGTCCCAGCGCCAGATGGGTCACCTGACTGCAGCTTCAGAGCTCCAAAGGAATTTGAGACTCGCTTGTTAATGTAGAGATTGCCCACATCCACAGGAAAAGGGCTACACTCGGCCCCAACCTGTTTCCCTTACAGGCAGGGTTGCAGCAGAGTGGGTGCTAAATGGGAATTTTCCTTGTGTTATTCACTGAAGCACACCAGAGATGATCTCAGACTGGTTTCCCTCCTAGTGGAAGTCAGTCGAAGTCACAAACTGCGTCATTGTGCCCAGCACCCCACCTGCAGTGTGGGTGCAGGAAGCCCAAGTTCAGGGAGTATTGGCCAGAGGACCAGAGGGAATGGTTTCTAGCTACGGCAGGGGAGATTCAGGCTGGACATGAGGAAGTATTACTTTTCAGAAAGGGTGGTCAGGCACTGGAATGGACTGCCCAGGGAGGTGGTGGAGTCACCGAGCCTGGGGGTGTTCAAGGAAAGGCTGGATGTTGTGTTGAGGGACATGGTTTAGTGGGAGCTATTGGGAATAGGTGAACAGTTGGACTGCATGATCTTTTAGGCTTTTCCAACCTTGGTGATTCTATGATTCTATGATTCTATGGCCAATGCTCTCAGACACAGGGTTTGGATTTGTGGTGGTCCTGTGTGGTGCCCGGAATTGGTCTTCATGATTCTTAGCTCCTTACTTACATGTAAGGCAAAGCCTCTAAATAAGGTCGTGCCTTAACCTGATTTTCTGCTTGGGATGTAACAACGAATGCCTGCTGGTTTGAGTTTGCCTTGTTGCTCATATTCAAAGCATAATGGGGAGCCTACAGAAAAATATAACCTTATTTACACCGTACAAAGCCAATTGGATTTTAGTTAACTTAATTTCTAAGTGATTACAGTTCACTAACAATGTAGGTGTGCTATAGATGCAGTGCACAGGGGGTGACTTTATTTTAAACCATACAAGCTTTTTTGTATTCATGTCATTCAGGCAGCCTCGTGATAATTCACATTTCCAGCTTTCATAATGTGTTGTTCAACCACTGTTTTTTCTGCCTCCCTATTGTACTCTCACAAATCATACTCACTAATTTCTGAAAGCTTTTCATTTCTCTCTATAGGTTGTTGTTTCGTAACATTTTATACAAGAAAAGCTGCTCTTGAGGCACAGAATGCACTGCACAATATTAAAACTTTACCTGGGGTGAGTACATTTACTTTTTGATCCTAATTATTTTGTTGCCAGAAAATAGCCCTTTTGCTTGAGATGCTTATTAAGTGCCCCACATGACCTTGGTCTCTTCAAGAGAGGGTGGCAAACCTGATGTCCTGTCCTGTAACAGTGCCAGTCCTGTAGCAATGGCATTATCTATAAAGACAGTTGTTCTTCTGTAGAAACTCCCTTGGCTGGAAACAGTGCTGATTCCTGCTGACTGGAGGCAGTTACTGAAGTACAAGGTAGATCCAATTTTTTATTTTTTTTTTTACAGGAGAAGGAGGGGGAGAAACATATGGCAGAAAAACACTGCTCCACTGAGGGTTCTAGTTCCAAAAGGGAGAGAGGAAAAGACGAAATACAGCCAACTTCATTAAATGCAGCCATTGTACACATGGTTTCTAAACAACCAAGTGCATTAGTGTGGTGACTGCACATTAGGGAGCCACAGAGCACAGTACCATGTTGCTGCTTGAACAGAGCCATTCCTGCCACCACCTCTGCTCGGCACCCTTTTCCTGCTGATACACTGCACTGGTGGTTAAAGCAGTTGTGCTTGTGTTAGTGAGCTAATTGTACAACCTGTATCGTATGTTATCCCATGGTAGTACAGATCTGGGTTACAGGTTTGAAGAGAAGAATATCACTGGTAATTGCATGACTTTAATGTGAAGTCTTCTTGTTCTAAGTTTTTCATCTGTTCTGCTGTTTGCAAGCAAATACTTAGGGGACCAGAATGGAAAAATATGAAGAGTGGGGATATATTCCCCCTTGATACATCCAAATGTTCCAGTATATGAATAGAGTGTGTGGTTACAGACACAAGAACAAATTATACAGCACTGTATAAATAAATGGAATATTGTTTGGACTGGCAGTTATGATGGATGGTTATGGACTGATGGCCAATATCTTTTTGAGTTCCTAGATGCCATATGTGAAATCAGACAATATGTGTTTGAAAACTTCATGTCTGGCTGGCCCCCTTTATGCAGATCCTGTAGAAAAGTTACCTCATCTGTCATGAAAGTGACCAACATGAAAATGTTGGATAGTTACCCATGAGCCGTGCTAATTCACAGAGGTAGAATGGAATTCTTCCCTCATTTGAAAATGGAAATGCTGGAAGCAGTGGGAGGAAATCTGCAATGACCAGCTAGCTACAGGAAAATCAATGAAAAATTGTGCCACTTCAGATTTCAGTAAATTTTTCCAGGGTTGATGTCAAGTCTTGTAGTGGCAGTTTCAGTTTTTGAGGATGTACAGGATGATATGCCATCACTGGACAGAAAAGAAAGTGTTGAGGGAGCTCTGGAGCTCCAGCCACATCACAGCATCCCTTGGCTCTGCAGCTCCAGTTGTTGGTTCCCATTCTCACTGCCAGGACATGATGAGCCCTTTGGATGAATGCTCTCTAACCCAATTCAGCTAATGTTGCAGTTAACCCAGCTCATTGTGTAACTGCTCTCCAATGTGCTTTCAGTTGTTTTCAGCTGTGCTGAGTGGGATGGGCACAACAATGGAAGTGGTCCTGAGCTGCTGCAGCATCTCTGTGTGTGGGAGCCCTGCCCTGGAGCCCCATAGTCGATCTGTACATCACTCTCCTCTGCAGCAAGAAAACTTTTGCTTGCACCTCTCCTTCCTAAGCCCCAGAGCTGGCTGCTCTGCTCTGAAAGGTCGTGGTTAAACCAGCAGTTGACTCAGATGGGTAGCCTCCTTTCCTTCCCCGTGTACAAGTAGCAAAACAAACTCAACTTTGCAGAGCTTCTTACTTCGGCAGGGCAGCATTTTCTCCTCTTTATAGCTAAGGAACATGCCACAGTTAGAGAGGCTGCTGCACCTTTTTTTTTTTCTTTTTTTTTTTTTTTTAATAGAGATCAAAACTATAACATTTTTTCCAATGCTGAATCTAGCTCTTGGTCTTTTAAAATGTATCTTTTTTAAGCTCTGTTTTTCCATCTTGAATGTGAAGTTACAAACTTTTCTTCTAAGAAAAAGTGAAAATTACATTCCTGTGACTCTTGGGTATGGGCTGATCTGATCCTGATGCTGCCTGAGATGTTAAGATTTTATTTTGAGAGGAGTTGTTACGCCTAATTCTTAAAGGCACATCTCTAATAAAGAGACTCAAACAGCTCATTACACTAAAGAAAATTAACCATATATTATATAACAGATTCTATATTTTGAATGTGCTATAGGCTGACATTCAACATAAATTGCAATGCTGTTATGATTCAGCAGTATATTCCCAAAATAACCTTGTTTATGCAAGCTATAAAGTTATGGCATACGTGCTGAAGCACTTCAGTAGAGCAGGATTCTCCTTCTATGAATTTTAGCGACTTCCATGCTGTTAGATCTGGCCCACTAAGCAGCTTTCCGTGAGCTAGCAGGGATTGGTAGTGGATAGCCTGTGTGTGAAACAGTCTCTTTCAGAGCAAATGGAAGCAATCATCTGTCAAGGCTACAAGGGATGAATTTGGATCAGGTTCATTTGGGCATCAGCTTGCTTCCAGTAAACAAGATGTGCTGTGTAGGAGCTTCAGAAAGGAGGTGTATTTGGAAACAAAACAATCTGTGCCTTCCACTTGTGCTGAAATACAGCCATGCATCAGATAAGAAGCATCTCTGAACAACCCAGGAGAAAAACAGAGTAACAGGCGGGTGGTTTGTTAGTTTCAGATACGGAATTATGGCAGACACAGAAGCAGGGGTGCAGCAGCTTGCCTGCATTTCACGTGTGCATAGGTATCACTCATCCTGCTGCAAAACTGTGTGCACTGAACGACTGTGAGTGGGATGTTTCTGGTTTGTCTCTTCATTTCTGAAATGCAGACTTGCTCCATGTTGCTCAGTAAGTCAGTTTGGGATGAACACTTACAAAGCCAAAAAAGCATTTTTGTAGCATGAAATCTATCCCGTTCTGTTTAGTTTGGGTGGGTATTTGAGCAAAGCCTGCCATGCTCTGTTTCTGTATCTACTTTCTGTGCGGACCTCATGCTTAACAGAGACATGAAAACACGAAGGCTTTATCTGCTCCTTTGAACTGCAACCCTTTTAGTGGACATGAAGAAAACAAGACCAGACATAAATGATTAATGAAGAATCTTGGAAGAAAATATTGCAGGGTGCCTTGCTGTTTGATTACAAGCCTTGGAATTAGTCAACATTTCCATAATTCTAAACCAATATACACCTGTTTTCCCACTGTGATGTGAAGGCACAACTTAATTTAACAGAAACCCTGCTGTGCTAAATCTCTCATTAAATACCAAGCTAGTTCTGTAATTTAAAGTTGCAGCACCACTATTTTAACAGAATTGCCTTTGTATTATGAAATTAATAAGAAGTTAATGATGTACTTTGCTGTATTCTCTCAGCTTTTTTTTCACAGCAACAACAACAAAAAAGAAAGATAAAGAGGAAAAACATGTCACCAGCTGACATCTCAAGGCTTTTCTTGTTTTAATCATTTTCCTGAGGATAAAATTCATTTAAAGTATTTTTAAAAAAATTTTTAAAACTTTTGGCATAAGCAGGATCAAACATCTTCTTTTTACTCATGATTATTATAATCTCTCTGTTAGACATAATATTCCTTGTCACATAATGGAACTTTTATCTTTCCCCAACTATGCATTTAGATATCACTTGTCACAGTAACATTGCTACTAGGCAGCATTTGAAAAATACAGGCATACTGATATATATGATACATATCAATGAAATAAGGACAATCGTCTTCTGTTTACTTGGCATCACAAGTAGCTTTTATGTCTTGTAAATGAGCAAAATGAATTTTTAGATATATCTTTTCAAGTATAGCATGCAAGCACATAGCTCATACCCTGGCTCCATAGGGATGCAGTTGGCATTATTCAAGCTACAGTCAGGTTCTTCCTGCATGAATGTCAGTATGGATTCTATTCTAAAAGGCAGAGTAGAAAAAAGGGAAAACCTCAATTTGAATGCAGTAATTGGGATGAGATGTGGAACCAAGGTCTTAACTAGTCTCATCTTCATTAAGAATCTCTTGACTTTCATAGAGATGCTTGGTTTCTATTCCCTAAACAAAAAAATCCGGTGAATTCCTCCCATCTAAATTTATTCTGTACCTTTACTTAGATGTAATAATCACAGTCCCCCCACGCTTAAGCACACTAATATGCTGCTTTTGAAAATTGGCTTTTATGCAGAGGCTGTATGCAGAGACTGCTCTCAGCCAAGTTGGCGGCACTGGCATTTTTTAGTTTAGTTTTAACACGCATGCCAGTTTAAGAACAGAACCTATACTATTTGGCTAACTAGTTCATTGAGTAGGATTTCCTGGCAAGAAGTAACTGCAGTTGGGTGATGAGGACTGGTTTGGGCTCTTGAAACCCAGCAGCTGAATAAATGAACATTTTCATGCAGATGCTATTTGACATCAGGAATCCTTTGGTAAAGTCCTTTGGTAAAATCTAGACCCAAGTCTCTTCATAGTCTGTTTTGCATTTAGAATTAGATTCACCTGCCATGACACGGATCATTTGTTGCCTCAGTATCTTTGCTTATATCCTCATAGGAGAGGTTATCACAAAAATAATTAACAGCCTGCACTGATTAAGGTGTCAACACTCCTATGCATTTAACAGACTAATGGTTTACGTGGTTCTTATTTCAAGTGGGTATACATATTCCAAGTAGCAGCAAGCCTGTTGTATTGAAGTTCTATCTGAGAATAGGGACATTAACTGCATCAATCAATTTAATTAAGAGTGTAACAACAGAGAAATACAGTTTTGAGAAAGCTCTTCAAGTTTTAACAGCAAGGTGGAGTTTGTAGGATATAACTGTCTTGTAAAATATTAATGGCCCCTTTTTTGCAAGATGTTGTCAAGGAAAAGATTTTCATTTTTAACAGTGTAAGAATCACTATGGGCTTTATGAAATGTAGTTTATGTGACAGGGAAACAGGACTGCCTTAGAGAAAGCTGTTCCCTAAG